GCTCCACGATCCGCCATTGCTGTAAAAAACTGGTCCATTGGAGTGAACGGAGTTGTCACAACTCTCTCTCTCTACGGCTCTGGTTTGGCCTACGCAGCTCAGTCTCTTTTTGTGGATAAGCCCACGTCTAAATTAATTAATGAGGTTTTAACAAAATTCCTATGGAGAAATAAATCTCACTATTTGAGAAAATCAGTCATATTAAACGCATATAATAATGGTGGTCTGAATTTTATTGATTTTGATTCCCTCAACAATACATTTAAAATTAATTGGCTGAACCAATATCTAGCCAAACCATCTTCTATTTGGAATGTTTTTCCTCAACTTGTTTTTTCACAACTTGGTGGCATTCACTTTCTCTTAATGTGTAATTATGATATACCCAAACTCCCTATCAAACTTTCCAACTTTCATCGACAGGTTCTCTTAGCATGGGCACTAATTTATAAGCATAACTTTTCACCACAAAGATGTTTTATTTGGAACAATAAGAACATTTTATTCAAGAATAAGTCTCTGTTTTATGATAGTTGGTTCAGTAATGGTTTATTATTGGTGGAACAGTTGTTTAATGAGCAAGGTCTTTTGTTCAGGTACTCAGAATTTCTTTCCAAATACCAATAACGCCAAAAGAATTTGCTACAGTTTTGAGAGCTATCCCCTCTGGTTTATGTATGCTTTTTAAAAACTGTAATTACTTATCAGTATCTACTGCTTCCTTTCCTAAACCTTGTGATACTCCTGTTGGTCAAATTTGTTTCTCTGAGTCGAAAGCCAAAAATGATAAAATACGATCTTTATTTCTTAAGAATCTGATTTCTGTTCCACCTGTGATTTCCTTTTGGAATAATTTGTTTGTTAACCTTAATTGGAAAAAAATCTGGTCTCTACAGCAAAAATTCTTCCTCACGAACAAAGTAAAAGAAAGTTATTTTAAGCTCATACACAGGTTCTACCCTGTAAAGAAGTTTATACAAAGATTTAAATCTGACATTGAGCTTACATGCTCTTTTTGTTCGAATTCTGAAGAAACTGTGGTACACTTATTTTGGTCATGTCACTACACTCAGAAGTTTTGGGATGATATTGGTGTGTTTGTCAAGTGTAAGATTTTGCCAGGCTTCTCAGTACATATGAAAAACATTATATTTGGGTATTATGACTCCGACCCCTCAAACAAAAATATCTGTTTTGTTATTAATTTAATTTTTTTCCTAAGCAAATTTCACATTCACAAATGCAAATTTTCCACCTGTAAACCTGTCTTCTCTGTCTGTGGCATCTGCTCCTTCAACACAGTGCTTTTTAGTAGCCAAGACGTTTAAGTATAAAATACAGTTATAATGTACAGGTTTACTGTAATTACTTCTATAATATAGTAGTGTTATATAATAAATTTTTGGAAATTTAGCGTAACATGATTCTGAAATGAAAACTGCTCACCTACATTAAACTTCTCATTCTCACTTTGGTCCATCTGCATCCTTTGCAATATATCTAAGTCTATTTAATAAGAATACACTCAGAAGTTTTGGGATGATATTGGTGTTTGTCAAGTGTAAGATTTTGCCAGGCTTCTCAGTACATATGAAAAACTTTATATTTGGGTATTATGACTCCGACCCCTCAAATTAAAATATCTGTTTTGTTATTAATTGAATTTTTTTCCTAAGCAAATTTCACATTCACAAATGCAAATTTTCGGACTGTTAGGATTTGCTCCGCCTTTGATCTCTTCATGTAATCATGTTTAGATGATGGCCCTCTTATCTTTATTTTTATTTTATTCTTTTTGTGATTTGTTTCCATTTTATTTTTGTGGTTGATATTATGTGATGTATGCTTATTCTTTGTATGTTTCCATTCTCTGCAATAAAAAAAATAAAATAGAAAAATACACCCTCGATTTACTGTTTTGTTTTGTAGAAAACATGGAAACACCAAAGACGCTTTAA